CATAGTTGTTTAACAACCCATTAAAATACATAAAAATGCAGGAAATCACAATTACTTTATTCAAAATTTTCTGAGGGAGGACCCCCTGCCCACTTTTTGGTTTCCGGCATTGATCAATTTACAAATGAATCCCTGTTACTTTGTTTGACCACTGAGGTTATGATTCTGTTCATTTTCATATAAAGAGTTTTCTGTAATAATTTGAAGAAGTGGCAATATATTTATGTTCATTACGTGAATAGGTAAACTTTTAAAGTGGTTTTTGATGCTGTTAATTTTCTCAAAATCGTAAATTTTGGAATTTGAAATGGAAAAAAAAAATTGTTAATTATGTTTTGAATGAAAAACATCCCATGTTTAAAAGTATAAAAAATGTATTCACACTATAAAAGAACAGGTCTCAAGTATTTATGTTACACAAATATTTCCATTGCATTGAAGCGACAAATTTTATTAAACAATCTCCTGTATAAGGGCTCCCTGAATCCAAAAGGTTTGAGAACCCCTGTTGTAAAATATCCAAATTCAATTCCCAGCAGACAATAGTATAATAAGCATTGCAAATAATGGTAGAACTGAATAATAGTATTCAATTAAAAAGACAATCACATCAACATGAACGTTATTTAAATAGAACAGGACTAACATTCCTGGTGTTGTAAATTTAACTGTCACCAAATTTAGGTCAGTGTCAGTAAATATGTAGGCCAAACAAATATGGCTCTTGTCCATTTTTTGTCTAAAAAGCTCAACTAGTAGAACTCAAGGTTCAAGGTTCTTTCATTCGCATCACATGTGGTACATGAGGTGAAACAAAATTGTGTACTCAAGGTCCCATTTACTTCCAACAATAGTAGAAATATAAACAGTAATAAGTATCTACTAAGAAATAGGCTAAACACGAATAGTGCAAAAAACAATATGCGTAACAAAAGCAACACGAACATGAGTCTGCGTTAGTAGATGAGTACGAATGAATACAGCAGCATGAAATAATCAGCAGCATGGATAATCAGCAGCACATATCAACAATCAAAGTTGCATTACAGTGATTGTTTTTTCAGTAATTATCGTGGTTAGATATTCATGAGTCTAACAACCTCAGGATAGAAGCTGTTCCTCAGTCTAGTGGTTCTACACTTAATGCTCCTCAACCTCCTTCCTGAGGGGAGTGGTGCAAAAAGTGTGTGCTGGGTGAGCGGGGTCCTTCATGAAGCAGGTGGTCTTCTTCCTGCATCTGGACGTTGTAGACGTCTGTGATGGTGGGGAGGCTGACTCCAACAGTCTTCTGTGCAGCCTTCACCACTCTCTGCTGTAACTGTAAATGAACCAAAGGTAACCAAATATGTCTTATAACGAATTGGAACAAAAGACTAAAATGAACCAGTTTTTATTTTCTTTATTTATACTGCCATCGTACTTTAGGAGCATTTGCAACCAGTACATCTCAAACATTGGAAACAGTGCACACACATCTACATTTAATTTTCGAAATACACATACACAGGCAAAGAGGGTCAGGAGAGGGAGGACGGTGAAATAAGCACAGAGAAACACCGGTGACGTTTCTGACGTCAGAGGAGAGGATGAGGGGGGTTTCACAAAGGTAAGCAGAAAGTATTTCTTTTAAAAACGGTTTTAAACGAACTTTATCAGCAGTTGATAACTTCTATTCTTCGTCACTTTTGTCTCCAGCAGCAGTCGAAACTGTCACACTTGGTCAATCACAACACAGCACCTCTTTTTAAATAGGAATGTTTTCATATAAAGCTTCACACTTATTTCAAGCAAACGTGTTAGGCCCTTGTTCAAATACATTGTACGGTCCAGTCTTTGCAAAACAATATATATATTTAAAAAAAAGACAAGACTTTCGACAGCCTCCCTCAAAAGACTAAATTGCACCTCGGCAGTTTACGCTCACGCTAAAAAGTTAAGGGTAGCTGCAGATAGATCTAATTTAATTGTCGTTTATTTGCCATGCCAGCACAACAGCTTTGTGTAACCTTAGAAAGCTACAGCGCTAAAGAGAAAACCAAGTTTGTTTGCAGGAAAAACAAAAAACAGAAAAAGAAAAGTCTATTGGAAAGCTAGCTGTTGAGCGCTCAACATTTTATATAGCTGCAATGGTTATTATAATAAATGCTAATAAGCCAGAGCAGCCACAGTAAAAGGTACAAAACCGTAACACTACCTTAACATTTATATAAAAACAAAACACTTTTACCATTAAAATTCAACGTTCAACCTAAAATGCCACATTTTCTCCGACATGCCTATTCGTCAGTCATTCTTTTGCCTCTCTCTCTAATTTACCGGTAAACCTCTCGTACGGTTGTTTTAAGACAAGCGTTAGTTAGCTAGTATTAGCATTCAGTACCGTGGATGGACATTAGAAATGACTTCAAGTGGACTTGGCAATGCTCTTCACACACATTAAATCATTTTACAATCATGTTACCGCTTTCTTGGACAATCGCTGCCACCCGAGACGGTTATACAACAAAAATGTCCACGTTTGAATGAAATATTGACGAAGTTTCCCTTTTTTTTTTTTTTTCCCCTTCTGAGGAGTGAAATATTTTTTCCAAGTTCACTTTTTCAAAAGGAGCCAGTTGACAGAGACAGTTCAGAACTTGTGAGGGTTCACGTGGCCATGAAAACAAAAACTACCGGAAGCTTCGGAGCGAGTGACGAAAATTGGAAAAAGGAGTGACCGCTAGGAATTTTTTATTTTTTTTTATTCGTGTCCAGAGCTCATAAACCCTGCTTGGCCAGGGCAGCGGTGACGTCCTGCGCCAGGGTGGACAGGTGGGGCGACTCCGTCATGTTGATGCTTCCGGTGGAGGACAGGCGAGGAGAGGTGCCTCCCGTCTCCATCTCCGGGGAATGGGTGACGACGATCTCTGCGCCGTGGTCCACGCGAGCTTTGGCCGATTCACGGAAACTCAGCTTATGGCTCTCAATCTTTTTAACAGGGGAAAAAAAAAAAAAAAAAATCAAGCAGTGACGTTCAATATTTAGGAAATATTTTATTTTATTTTCTTTTACCATGACATTCCCTCCTCCGGGAGTGTGGCTGGCATTATCCAGGGAGCCAACCTTGGGGATGGCCTTGTCTTTGAAATCCAGCTTCACGCTCTCAATTCGCACATTGCCTCCCCCTGGGAACACAGCGGCAAGACAAAGTTGAGAGAAAAGTACCAAACCCTTGAGGCGTTAGCGCCAACAAGCCTGCACTTCTCCCGGGCAACGCTCAAGGCGACAAATCCCAGAGCGAGGACACTGTGCTCTGAAACTAGAGCAGATGTTTGAAATCATAAACTGGATCCTTCTGGGGAAATTTCACATTTATTTAACACCAACCTGGATCCTTTAATGGTACCACTTCCTGCTAAGGGTCCTTTCATAAAGGATTTGTTCATGCTTAATAAATGGGTTATTCATGAATTTGTAAATGTCTTATAAAGCAGAAACAATCATTTATTTAAGAGTTACAGTTTATACATTAAATTAGGCACACCTAAATAATTTTTCTTCCCATAGAAACATCTTGATCAATCCTGTGTTTGTCTCTTTCCTGTCCTTTCAAACCCCAGCTGTCCCAGGCCACCCATCCTGAGCCTGGTTCTGATTCTGCTCGAGGTTTCTTCCTGTTACAAGGGAGTAATTTCTTTTCACTGTCTCCAGTATCTAATGTTTATGAAGCACTCACACTATTGTGATCCATTTTTCTTCCGTACGTTTTTCAGCATCTTTCTCGTTCCACAATTTTTGTGCTATTTCAACAAATCACATATCAAAATGTTCAGCTGGTTCAGGAGAAGGGTAATATGACTTTTGGTAGTGGTGCAACTTTAGCTTTTTGAAATATTTAGCCTTTTCTGCCATTTTTTTCCATAGGTAATGAATTGAGCTCATTTTCCATCCTTCATGTCTTTAGATCTGTTTACAACCTTTTACTGCTCCTTTCACATTTTGTTCTGATTCAGCTTCTTTCAGCTTCCCTGTGCAGATTTAAACATATTTTCAGCTACTTTCAGCTGTTTTGTGATGCTTTTAGATTATTTCTACTAACTACAACACTTTTGTGCATCTTCCAACTCCTTTCTGCCAATTTCAGCTTGTGCTCCTTTCAGCTGATTTCTTGCAAGTTTCAGCTTTTTCTGCTATTTCAGCTACTATTTAGCTGCTTTTATGCTCACTTTAGCTTTTTGAGCTAATTCTACATTTTCTGCACTCAATCCAACATTTTTCAGCCTAATTCAGCAACCTCCACTTCCTTCTGGTAACTTAAGCTTCTTTCTGCTGTTTTACCTACTTTTTAGCATTTTTTTTGGGTTAATTTCAGCTTTTTCCAGATAATTTCTACTTTGTTGTATTTCTGATTCTTTCAGCCTAATTGGTCAAACGTGTTCTTTCTGCTTTCTTCTGCTAATTTAAGCTTGTTCTGGTACCCTGTGTACACAATTTTGTTCCACCACATGTACCACGTGGTGCATATGACAAATAAAGAACCTTGAATCTTTCTACCTCCTCAGCTAGCTTTTAAGCATTTTTAGCTAATTTCAGCTGTTTTCAGATAAAATTGTTTTTCATGTTACGTTCTTCTACTTTCTACCCAATTAACTTCTTTAAGCTAATTTCAGCTTGTTGTGTTCCTTTCAGCTTTTTTTTTGTTAGTTTCAGCTTTTTCTGCCCCTTTCAGCTACAATTTAGCTCTTTTGATGCTAATTTTAGCCTTTTCAGAAAATCCCACATTTTTTTTAGCTTATTTCAGTCCTTTCACTTTGGTAGCTTAATCTTCTTTTAACCTTTTCAGCTTTTTTTTTTTTTTTTTTTGCTAATTTCAGCCTTTATTTTATTTTAGATAACTTTCTAATTTTTGTGCTCATTTCTGCTTATTTAAATCTAATTCAGCAAATATGTGTTCTTTCTGCTTTCTACATTTCAAAACGTTTTTATGTAATTTCAACTGTTTTTCAGCAAGTTCTTCTGCAATAAGTATTCACACTGCATTTTCACAGGAAATGCCATTTCTCTAGTTGACATTTGTCAAGTACTTTAATTGGAAGTGAATCAACTGTATTTGGATTTGAATCTGGATTTGTGGTTATTTCATTTTATTTAACGCTCTGAGACAACTTTTGCTGAGTATGGGGCTTGGCGCTGTAGAATAAACTGAACTGAATTAAGTTATTTTGATTCATTCGATTGCAGTATCTAAATGTCTGATTTGCAGTTGAACGTTGTGCTGTTAAAGAAGCGAATGCACTGACAGCATCTTACCTGGTCTGTGGTGAATGTTGGACATGGAGCCACATTTGGCGGTGATGTGACTCAAGTCGATCTTCTTAGTTTGGATTTGAACCTGGAGCAAACAAACAAACAAAAAACAAAAAAGGGGGAAGAGCAGACAGTGAGGCTACAAACATAAAGGAGAGGCGCTATGTGACTGAAGCAGATGCTTTAATTAAAGTTCATCATCCATGAGTGGTACACCTGCATGCTGTACAGCTGCTTCACCCACTAACGTTGTATTATAACAACTGAAGAATGCAAGCTGTTCTTCACAAACACGACAGGAGGAACGACAAAGCATGGAGACAAAGGGGTTTGGGGATGAACTTTCTGCAGAGTTACTTACATTTCCCCCGCTTGCCATGTAATGGACTTTATCCAGGGAGCCACACTTAGACTGGATGTGGCTAAAGTCCAGCTTCACACTTGGGATCATGACCTGGGGAGGACAAGTTGAACTGGTTACAATACAAGATTTTATCAAAAGACAAGAGGTTGAGATACCGTATATGACCAAACGGTGAACCTCAATCTTCCAGTTTTTACGTTGTTTATTGTGTTTAAATGGAAATACAAGTGAGGTAGACTGTGCTTCTTCACTAAGATCAAACAGCTGAACGACGTTAAGACAAACAGATGGACACATAAAAGTAGCATGACAGAGCGCTAAAGCCTTGAAAGCGAGAGACAAGAAAGGAAAGAGAAAAACGGTTACATACATTGCCTCCTTTTGGCGTGTGCTTCAGATTATCCTTGGAGCCGCACTTTGATTCAACATGACTGAAGTCCAGCTTCTCACTTAAAATTTGAACCTAAAATAAAATTGGAACGATAAAAAAAAACAAAAAAAAAATACTACTACGTGTGTCTCATCAAGACAAGCATGAGGGGTAAGTCAGCAGTGGAAATGGCATACGAAGGGCCGGTCCACACTACTCCAATGATTCCTGCTGCTTTTCTGCTGTGTTTGAGTTTCTGCTGTACGTGTGTAGATATAAACAGAGATGCACCGATCCGATACCAATATCGGTATCAGTCCCGATATTGAAAAACTTCTGGATCGGGTATCGTGACAATGTGATTAATCCATGACTGGGCAGATCTATTCACTCTAAGTCTATGCTTTGTGCTCAGAGGGACGTCACGCGCTAGCGCACTCACCACACAGATTGTTTTCAAAATGGAGCGAGCGAAAGGATCAGCCATCTGGAACTATTTCACCCTACCTCAGACAACACATTCGACAGCTACGTGCAATACGTGCACAGCGACGGTTCCAGGGGGTGTCACTAAAACTTCCAGTTATACCACTACCAACTTAATTAAGCATCTCCAGAGATTTCACCCTAAAGAGCATGCTGAGTTTGTTGAACGGAATTCAACACTGTTTTGCGGTATCAGATCAGTATCGGATCGATATCAGCCGACGAATAACCTCAGATATTGGTATCGGAAGTTGAAAAAGTGGATCATGCATCTCTAGATATAAAGCTCTTGAAAAACAGTCTATCAGCCTTTTTCATGCACGCCCACCGTTACTTTGTGTCCTGAAAACCAAAACAACAATGGAGCTGTTTTTTATCCGTGTTTTTCCTGCACGCAGCATTTTAGTCTGATCCTGCTGCCGTTAATGCTTGAATGTGTGCTGAAATTGTGAATAATAAACTATAAGTGGTATTAAAGAAATAAAAGAGCGGGAGTGGTGGCGCAGAGGTTAGAGACGGTGGGCCTGTGATCGGAAGGTCGCCGGTTCGACTCCCCGGACTAACAACATCAAAATGTGTGTAGGAAAGGTGAAGTGCCCACACTTGTCTCCACCCTCAATTGCTCCACTCTGGGCCCTTGAGCAAGGCCCACCATCTGCTCCCCTGGGCACCCTAGATAGCAGCTCTCTGCTCCACACAGAGGGCTGTGGTAGCTCGGTGGTCTGTGATTGTGTCAGGAAGGGCATCCGGCATAAAAATAAGTGCCAAGTCTTTGTGCAACTTAGTCCACTGTTGCGACCCCTGAAGGGGAGCAGCCAAAAGAAGAAGAAAAAATGGAAGAAATAAAGTTTCAGAAAACTTCGCAAAAGCATGCTCAATAATCCAGGTAGAAAAATCCAAGAAAGTTCAATCTGGTCCTCTGGACATTCAAAAAAACAAAAAACAAAACAAAGCAAAAAAA